GCTTATAAAGAGATTGTGCTTATACAGAGGTTTTTTTATATATTTATAGTAGTTTATTTAACAAAATTAAGTGCTTACATAGAGGTGTGATTATAAAAAATGTGATTATATAGAGGTCTGACTGTATATATATATATAAAAAATCAAATTTATTTAAAAATTTTTTATTAAATATGATTAAGTTATTGTTATTTTTGTTCAAGGTTTGAAAAAAGATTTAAAAATTTGGTGCTTTCTACTGACTCTTATACTTCTATATATTTTAATTTTAGTAGATTTCTGAATAATAGGGTAAATTGCTCGAATTGGATAATATTCTTCAAAGGTTATAAGCGTGTGAGAAGCTTCGTGAGTACAATTAGTGTCACAAATAGTTAATATAAATCGCTGCAAAAGCAAAACTGCCTTTGGAAATTCTAGGCTAGTATATATATATATATAAATAACTTCGCTGTTTAAATTCGATTCAAACGCTTTTAATTTTAAAATTGAATATGCGCTAGAAGTCAATTCGAAATTTTTTAACGATTTGAATGAATATAAAATTTTTCGTTTTTACTTAAATGTACTTAGAATCAACTTAAGCTGATTCTAAATTCCATTCTGACGTACAATATATGGGGCCTCGTCAATCAAAATGTATCTTAGTGAGATTGATCATTTTCCGAAAATTGTTATACAAAATGATAATAACATGTCACTTGTAACAACCTACTTAAAAATAAATAAATTTTGATTGATAACACTCTATGTTACATTTAGACATCTCTTAATTTTTATATTTGTGCAACAATTTTCGGAAAACGATAAGCTACGTTTTGATTGACATCCCATATAATTAATGACTTAGATTACTGTCACGGAGGATAAATCAGCAGATGCCGAAATTGGACCTATGAAAAAAATTCCGAAACCATTTTTTGGGGGCAGATTAGGATTCACGGTTAGTTAAGTGAAAAATAATGCACAAGGGTGTTGTTTTGGATAATGGCCGAATTAAACTTAATTTGGCCAAATTCGAAGTTACACCCTTGCACGTTATTTCGTGCTTATAAAGCAAATAAGAGAATTGGCAAAGTTTATACTCACAAATAGATCCAATTTCAACGTTGCAACAATTACTTACGTGCGTGACTTTAGAAAATTAAAAAATTCATCACTTTTTGCTTATGAAATTGATTATAAAATAATGTCATGTCATTTCAACAAGTCAAATGGGAAAATTCAGAGCATCGGAAACTATGTACGAGAGAACCTTTCCTTTGACATTTCAAGGAACCTTGGTAACTGTACAGACATGTCTAAAGCAGGTATTGCCATTATGATTCAAAATCATCTTACAATACATATTTACAAGATTGATA